GTTACCGTTTGGCCGGACACATAATGGTCATTAGCTCGAAAACTAGCCTTTCTTGGTCACTTGAAAATTTCACCGATTTTTAGGCCAAAGTGTAAGCTTTAAAATGCCGCATAGCTTATATCCATAAAACTTCTTGTCTTCACGATATGGCCTTTGGTAGTGCGAATATGGCCAAAAATGGCCAAAAATGACAAAAAATGTTACTTGTAACATTTGAATTATTTTATGGGCCAAAATGTACTCCAATGAATCTGTAAATATGCTCTGTGACTAGCCAAACAAAATTGAACAAAATATCGACCGTTTTGGATGGCTATTCTACCAAAAATCGGCTAAATTTACCAAAATTCGAATTTTCACAAAAATGTCTAGATGTATGAAATATGAAATTTTAACAACAAATAACTACATGTTTGATGGTCTCCTCGCATAAGATCGATAAAATACTGAATCTTATGCCCCCTCCCACCAGGCCAGAAGGTGGACTATCGTCGGGAGAGGTGCATGCGGTTAGTCACAAATGAAATTAAAAGAAATCTACAAAAATGTTAGTATAAATGGCAAACTATGCAAAAGGTCATGCAAAAATGGCCATTATTTTCATACAGTCACTGTGGGACCTAGACTTGACATAACCAGGACATATGCATATTCGTTGAAAGGTCTTAAAGCAAGCTCTCAAGTGGTGTCAATTGCGACTTAAAAATTCATGTGGGGGTGGCCAAATTGGCAAATCAACCAAAAATTGACCGTTGACCGCACACATAACGGGCATTTTTTCGAAAAAACTGCATATATTCTCTTGAAAATTTCAACAATTTAAGCCTCAAGTCAAAGATAAAACAATATGCATACCACATACCACTGAAAAATACCTCTGTTCCTCATTATGATCCATAATTTTTATAAATTTGGTCCAAAAATAACCTAAAAATCCATATTTTCATTGTATTTGATAAATTCATGTGTCTTGAATCTTTAACTTGGAAAATAGCGCTTACTATTGATATCAAATAAAAAACCTCTATCAAGGTGAAGAACGAGTGACGAAACCAAAATTTGAAACACAAAATTTCTGATATCAATTTTGTAACGAAAATAGTTGGTAGATATATTTTCTGTGTACTGTGAATATTAGCTTAATATACATTTGTATATTCGGAACGTTGCTTCATTGCGTCAGTATGAACTCAAAGTAAAAAGAAGAAGATAGAATTTCTGCAACGTTTCGAATATACAAATGTATATTAAGCTAATATTCACAGTACACAGAAAATATATCTACCAACTATTTTCGTTACAAAATTGATATCACAAATTTTGTATTTCAAATTTTGGTTTCGTCACTCGTTCTTCACCTTGATAGAGGTTTTTTATTTGATTAATATATACGTCTCGTGTGCAAAATTATTGACTGACTCAGTCAGTTAGCTTACTTGAAACGTTTGTGATTTAACCCAGCTGCGATTGAAGTTATTTAACGTTTATTTGTTTGATTCTTCAGTCGAAATCAGCACTGAAAAATATAATACAAATCAATTGGCGGCTATAGCCATCCAACGTTCCAAAATTAGCGTCTGCTTAAAATCAGATAAATAGTCAATTTAAATTAACGAAAAAATAACGAAGGGTTTCAAAAATTGGCTGTTCACTTCGCCTCATAGCATGTTACAGTGAAAAATTCATCATTTTGAATAGTGAAACACTCATCGCTATATCGAACCATGAATCAAGTGCGAATGGTTTCTTTTCCATTGATAACGTTAGGACACTACTGTATTAGGCCAGAGACGTCGACAAACCGAACTTTGATAAGAGGGTGTTTGTATGATAGGGTCTTCTTTGGAAGGTGTTTTAGAGCCATTATTCGAAAATTTGGTGCTGAAACGTAAGGTTAAACCTCCATTACTTGCTCTATCATCAACCAATTATTGTTGGAATCGATAGAATTCGTTGAGAACTATCTGATTAAAGACAAAAGTGTGAGAGTCATCTTTCAAAAAAATGACTAAATGACCAATGCCAATGGCATCATTTATTTGGATCTACGTATTCGATTTGAAAAATTTCATTCAACTTCGATTTTTAGTATGAAAATAGAAAAATTGCGATTTTTGTCACACGCGTTGTGTCACAAATTCAAATGTTGACATTTTTGATAGTCACAAATTGGTCACTAAAATATGACACCATTTGTTTAGATCTAAGTATTCGCTTTGAAAAATTTCATTGATTTTCGACTTTTAGTATGAAAATCGAAAAATTGAGATTTCTGTCACACGCGTTGTGTCACAAATTCAAATGTTGAAATTTTTGGAAGTCACAAATTGGTCACTAAAAGATGACATCATTTATTTGGATCTACGTATTCGATTTGAAAAATTTCATTCAACTTCGATTTTTAGTATGAAAATCGAAAATTTGACATTTCTGTCCCAAGGAGTTTTGGGTCCGTGGACGGATTTGGTTCAAATTTGTAATTTAGAGGTTTGAAGGATGGTACTTCTCAAAAATAATATCAGTTTGGAAAAAGTGACACCTTTCATTCAAAAAGTCACGTCATTATCAAACTGCCTAGTAGTTAAAAACACATCATTTGGAAACATCCATCAATTTCAAAACGGTTCTTTCTGTTATCTAGAAACTTTGCACTACAATACAAAGTCTACCTATAGAAATATATCTATAGACTATAGTCCATAGATAAAGTGTACAAATATTTATTTGAATCGAATAATTTGAAGTATCATACAAGAAAATATAGACTATAGTCCATAGATATACACACAAAATGCTATATTTCACATATGTGAGGAATATTATTGAATACGGTTCAGTAGTTTGGAATCCATATTATTATATCTATAGACACATAATTGAAAATATACAGAGAAAATTCACTCGTATTTTATGCTATAAATTCAATATTTCTCGGAAGACATACGAGTCTAGGTTGGAACAGTTCGATATGAAATCATTATTCACAAGAAGGTTGTATTTTGATGAACTATTTCTATATAAAATAATGTCGAGGAAATTCAATACAAGTTTGACTCAATCATTCAACATAAATGTTCCTGCTAGAGTAACCAGATTCACACCGATTTTCTATGTACCGGCAGTCACAACGAATATTGAGTATTTCTCCCTCGCTCTAAGATTAAAAAGACAACATAACGATCATTTTTCTGACATTGACCTACTGGATAATTCGTTGACTCGTTCTAAACATGCTATCAATTCATCATTACCAAATGAACTATGGCCTAATTTCAGATAGGTTATGACTTCCTAATGCAACTTAATTCCATTTCCTCATTTATATACTATATTTCTTTTTTCTTTTATCATTATCAACTTAAAACAGTTTACTCTCATATTATTCTACCATTCTTTCACCATTATTATTTTAAATCAATCATTTATTTTTATTAAAAACCCAAAATTATTATCTCGTGATTATGATCTGTAAGAGGGCTTTGGGCCTGTTGATTGTAGTCATATACCATACATTTCCAAATAAAAAGAAAATAAATAAAAATAAATAAAATAAGAATTCGGATCAAAAGTAGAAAATTTATACTAGCATCGAAAAATGTAAATTTTTTTGGTTTAAACATAAATGTATTTTGAATTCTCACAGTAAAGCCGAATTTTTTTAAAAATAAAATATAGTATTATTATAGTCACGTTTTCTTTTAATTTAATTCACAGACTAACATCAACATTTTTTTTGCCAATCAAATCGAAAGCATTCCATAACAATAAAGCACGTGATTTGAAGAAATCTATGAAACAAAACCCATTCCGATTTTCCTATGCACGTGAATGACTTCGTATTGGAACCTTCAGTATTATTTATCTCACTTGCAATTTTTAGTCAATTGAATAAAAATAAATTAATTTCGTCTTCACATTTATTCAAGCTTCTTCTTATAAATGATACATTAAATGCGGTTCAAGAAATATTGAAGAATATATCTTAAAAATAAACAGTATATATTGAGGTGATTATTAATAAATGGGGAGACCAACGTATGCTGTAGTAGCGAATACATATTTATTTTTCAGATAACATTCTTTTCAAAAAAAAAAAAAAAAAAAAAAAGACACTCAAAAAGCATTCATGAATAGACCCAGGTTCATGGTAATAAATCAAAATGATTATTTGATGTTAAATAATTCTTTACATATAGACTTAAATCATTACAAACAAAATTAAAATAATATTGAAATATCGAAATTCCCTATGAATCATTAATCTAATTTATTTTATTACAAAGGAATGACTTTTTTAAACTAAATTCATTATAATTTTGGTATTCATTTCTCTTTTAATTTTTGTTCGTTTGGGAATAAAAGACAAGGCATTACCAAAGAAATAACTTATTCTTACTTTATTCCAAATTTTTGTCGAATTAGGCCTATAGATTGATAATTTATGTTCAATAGAATAATATGTGGACTGGTCAAAATAGGTATCGATGGAGAATTTTTGATTTACATTAACACATTAAAAGTTCGCATACAAAGAGGATCGTTTGATTCGTAAAAATTGAAATATTAAGGAAACACATTTGATTCATCGATTACCTAGCGTCACAATGGAGTAGAACTAAACAGTTAGCTGTGAACATATTAACGCATAAAAAATTAAATCGTGGTCAACACAGTTGAGTGAATGTTAAAGATAGTATTGAAAGACTTTTTTTGGAATTGTACCACTATTAACAATGTGCATTTCACTGTTTTCATTAAGTGTCGCTTGATACTGAAATGTAATTAAGTGTTATAGCTAAATTTTGGTAAAATAAAGTTTTCAAACTATAACATTAAATTTAATTCATAAATGAATTTTTTTTTTCCTCAGTGCCCATTTTGACCAACCAACGGTGTGCGCAATTGAGGATGAAATGTTGGTTTTTTAGACAAAATTATAAGAATATTTGTTTTGGCTGATTGCATTTTAAATAAAAAAGAAATGAAAAGACAAAAGGGAATATTTTATATAATGAAACATTCACTGACACAAATGTTTGTGAATTTTCAACAAGATGTATTATAAAGGTAAAAAAAATAGTACTTGTTTCTTTTATGATAACAGAAACAAAATCAAGTTGTCTCATTGCTGACGTGATGGCTTTTTTACTTTTTTACAATTTTACAAACGATAAATGAACCTCTATTAATAAAATATCAAAATCATGGTTTGTTGTAAATATTTTAGTGAATTGTTTTTTGCTTACATATGTCATTATAAAAACAAGTTCATTTTATGCAATTATTTGTATGATTTACATGGGCCCATCTATGGTGCTCACACTCAACGTACAGTAATACACCGTTCGAGCAAACAAAAACAGGGCAATCAAAAATGCGCCGATATATGCGACATAAATCCCTCCATGATCCTGTAATTCAATAAAACTATTAAGAAAATATTCAGGTAAAATACGAATCATTGGGGCGAAAAAATTGCTCCTATTTTTCTTCTGTAATAATACTGTAACATAAAGTTTTTTATAAATAGTTTAGTTGTTGTGTAATACAATAAGTATACGATGTGAAAAAACTTCATGTCGCAGTATTATTTGGAGAAAAATAAGACGTATTTTTTCGCCATGATTTAAATGTATTGATATAAACTTACCGCAGCACTCTTATACGTTGCCCATGTAACACAAATTCCAATGATTAAAAATAAAATCCCTAAACCTAGAAACAGAATACCTCGGTTACGTGTGAATTCTGGTCCTACACTTGACACTTTTCGACAATGTGGACATCTCGCTAATGCGTTATGCAATGTATTGAACTTAAAAAAAAGAAAAGAAAAAGGATAACAAAAAAGATAAAACATTAAAAATGATAATTATTTAAGTAGAAACATTCTTCAACCTACTAAGAATGTATCAGAGCAATGACCACATGTAACACGGCACATTCCTGGTAGTGAGGAAACGGGTGGAGTTACTGGACTTGGCGCTAAGTTAATGATTCGTTTGCAATTTGGTCGCGGACAAGCGATTCTTTGCGATGAACTCTTGCATATTAGCAAACAATTGCAAGGACAACGAACATATTTTTTGCCTGGTGGTGCATTTCGGATTGGCTTTAAATGAAAATAAAAACATGTTACATATTAAGAACATATTAAAACAAAAACATAATTTGCATTGAAGTTTGCTTACTGTAGCTTCTTGGCACTGAAGACATTTAACAACATGCTGTTCTTTTTTGCTCGAAATATCAATCATTGCTGCACACACTCTGCATGTAACCATAGGCACTCCACCACTGGAAGCTTGTTGAAATGGCGGTGGCACTTCATTCGGACCAATTGGAGAAACTGTTGCCCCTGTAAAATTGAATTCAAATTTTTGCACATATTAATAATATATTCCTTTGAATAGTATAAAGTTTCATGTTTGAGGTGGGCTTTTTTCTCATAAATAAAAATGATGTAAGAAAATGTGTTATCAATTAATTTTTGCGCTCTTAATAAAACACAATTGAGAAATTATATAGAAAAATTGGCATTAGTACAAATATTTTGCAATCTGTCCAATATTTATCAACGAGGCGAGAATGAATCATATTCGAGACAAGTCAAACAGTTCAGTAGATGTCGTTTTTTTTAATTTATTTGTTTCTCGACTTTATTGTTGAATATGTATATATTAATGCAATGGTGACATACAACACGCCCGTGTTTATGACAAGTACACTAAATGTACAAGACATGCATTATAGTCACAACCTTTTTTTTCATTTATCATATGTATGATATGGGTATATATTAAAACTCACCGCCAGCATTTTCACCTTCCACCGTGTAATTTGTCTTTGCATCTTCTTTATCTAACAACGGCTGATTTTCATCATTTTTTGACATTTTATTTGTGTTCAATAGTCTTTTCACTACTGTATATGATTTTTTTTTTAATCTTTTATGATTCTCAAACGTTGTATTTTTTCTGACAGCAATTTTTAGTAGACAAACTATTGAAACTCTTGTTTTATTGATACAAATGAGAAGAAACAAACGAACTTAATTAAACAATATAAAATGAAAGACGCAAATAAACCTATCTTTAATATTAAAACCACAATCAAGACAAATCCTAATGCAATAGTATTTTGAATAAAATAAATAAATATTCGCTCTACAGAAACACGTAATATTTGCGAAGATATTTTTATTGATTTCCAAAAAAAGATTTACACATTTATTTCATAAGGTGCAACCTCGAACACAATTGTTTGTTACACTTATTTGATATGAGTCAGTAAAAAAATTAATCAAAATATGCTCGATCGACTGGACTGTATCAATTCTTTTATTATTATTTAATTTGCTCTTTCTTGGCGAAAAGAACAATGAGATTAGTAAGTCTTCTTCTTTTTCTTGTTTATCGGATAACCGTATAGATGTTGGTGTGTACGGTGTATTCTATGTAATGTTTGTTTTATGTTTGTATGTGAATCTGTTTTTATGCATATTTGCTGTCAAATGCCTACGTTTTATTGCGCTGTGTTACCATTTTGGTGTTGTCATAATAAAATTGTTAAATCGTAAAGCGCATATTCCGCCATCTAGTGGTTTGATGTTATTAAAGTAACGCAAATTCATCCATTAGGATCTATTATATTTATATAAAAATACCAGGTATTTCGTTCAAATCTTAGCTTCTAACAGTCCCGTTCCAGGGCTCCTCCTTAATTTCAAAATTTATCAAATTTTAACAAGGGGTCATTTTTTTGGCGAAAAATCCCTAGCAAATTGAAAGTCCCCCTAAAATATCCCCTGGTCAGAATTTATGGTTCAAATACATTTTTATTATTTATATCGATAACGCAATGAATCAATTCAAGGCCTCATTTGGCTCATTTGCTGTCTACATCCGCGTTATCAACTACCAGAATTTTTTTCATTTTTGCCACTTGTCTTCGTCTCTCGCTCTAATTTGTTTGCCATTGACTTAATTCCGCAACTTCTGTAAATGGTTACCTAGAGTTGATCAGAAGAAAAGAATGAAAAAAAAATGGAAATTAATCAATGAGCAATGGAACAGAATGGAAAATGAATCGAAGGAATGGATGAGGAATTGTAAAGTAATGGAATTGTAATTTTTAAGTAAGTATGCCTTAATGGTTACCTTTTGTAGTCAAATAATCAGACGGTTCCCAGGGTTTTTCATGTAATCATGTAATTTGTGACATTGCTTGCCATTATAAATCACTTTTTGTTTGGTGTTTCCCACTATTTTTTTCAAGAGCCACACTGCTCAAATTCACCAGCTCTTTTCCTCACAATCGGCTTTCTTTCCGTCTCGCTCAAATGCCGGCACAATTCTTGAAATGAACACTTGATAGCCCGGATCGGTTAGATCATTCACCAGTGCACAATACTTGACAGGCACATTTTTGGTGTTGAGCATGTCAAGAAGTTGTATTTTCGTGAGTTCGGCTCGCTTTGGCGATAGTAATGAAAAATTATCTGGCAAATTACGTTTCTGAGCACGTTGTTTCAGTTGATAGTTTTTGCTGCATCGATATAACACTGAAATGTTATACTGGCTAGCAGCTTATGAAGTATGGCACACAAAACAACAACAACGGATAACTGGCATATCGATGATTTCGATGAAACTGCGGCCCAAATCGATGTATGAATTTGGTACTCTGAATTTAAAATTTCGAAGAAGCTAGAAGGAGTGAACCGTAGGTCAAGAGAAATTGAAATGTGTGGAGCCTAGGTAATTTTTATGAGGAATCAATATCAGTAATTAATTCGGGGGTTAGAGAAGATACGGACCAAATTTCGGGGTATTTTTCGAAATTTTCGTAAATTTTGTAGGGGTACCTTTCTTGGGGGTAATTGGAGGGGGTATCCAATGGTAGAAATGAAATAATATATTTCGGCATATGAAATTCCGCACATAAAGGTGAAAAATCGACTTTATATCATTTTACCCTAATGTGGGGGCACTCAAATGTTGGGTGACTTGGTGGAAACTGGAAACAAACATCAATTCCCAAGTATTCTGACATTCCAATTTTTGGGTTTCAGGTTTAAAAAAAATGATACATTGAGAGGTTATGACTCCCCCTAAGGATTGGGGGCAGGAACCCAAAAAAAATGTCTCGTCATTCTGAACAACTTTGTAGTACATTATTTTTTTGATCTGATGAAGTTTTGACATGGTCTCCTCTGCATCCAATATCCCGATCGGGCAGCTGGATTATTTTTTTCGGAACTTTACATCGATTCGTACGAAGGAAAGTTAAACATTTTTGTAACACTTCGATACCTTTACTGGTAAGAAATATAAAGATAAAATAAACACAAAAATCGCAGATGGTTAAAATATGATTTCTTTACGTCAATAGTCTGTGAATACCCTGTTATTTAAATAAAAACAGATACAAGCCCAAAATTCACAGCGTAAATAAATCCATTCTTCAAAAACTTGCAGAGTCCATACGTTAAAATGCCAAGAAAGAAAACGATCGCGTGAATTGAAAGCAAACTGATGTGATGCAATGATTAAAAGGCAAATTTTTAAATGTAAACAAATAATACTCGGCTACATTTTGACGCACGCAACGTCCACCGTAAAATGTCAAATGTGATATGAATACTTTACGAGAATTTAAATTCGAAACTCCTAAAAAAATAAATGCAATAAGCTGTAAAAAATCGGTTGCAACTCAATGAATTGTTTATTATTTTTGCAGTGACAAATAAATTATTGGAATTGAAATACGAAATTAAAACATTACATTGTGTTCGGTTCACATTGAATGTGAATCTGTATTCTCCTCTAAAAACGTTACATTTAAAATCAAAAAATATTATTTATTTAAAAATAAATAAATATTTTCTTTACGTTTTTGGGTTTCTTTTGATTGGAATCGAGTAAAATATGTGAATGTTCATTTGAAGTTAAAAAAGTAAATGTTTGTAAATTGATGTCGCCACTATCTGGTATTTTGTATGAGGGAGAAAGCATCACAACCTTAAGAAAGAGAGTGTTGATATATAATTACATATACATTTGATGTAAGTTGACGAGTTGGCAAGTGTTAGATTCAAGTTGCCAACAAAATTATCAAATTAGTGGTTTCGATGAACAGTAAATTGTTTCATGTAAAATACAACAGTTTATAAACTTTAGGCACTTCCAAATATTAAATTTTATAAAATAATTTATTCTTGAAATTTTGTTGATTTCAATTTTTCATAGCTTATCATTCAGTTTTGCCCCCATTTTCCCATCGGTATTCATTAATACGGTAAATTTTTAGATAAAATAATATTTTAAGCTGCTTTGTAATTAAACGAATCAATCAAATATTATTGATACTCCATAATCATTCTTAATTCAGCAATATAAGTTAACAACTTCAATGATCGCACGAAGCATGTAAAATATAAAATATTGACACGTACAACTTTTCTCTTCGTCAGGTTTGCAGGTTATGTCGCATATAATACAAGATTAGACCACTAGTTTCTTCTACGCATTTCATCGCTTTTATTCGTTTATCGTATAATTTCTATTGCAACGGTGTAATATTTTTTAAGTCGGAATTTTTCCATTTGTAATTCTTTGATCGAAAATCAACTCCTCTCGCCGATTCAAAAACACTACGCGAGACACTATTTCGATAAACAAAAAACAACAATCAATCAACAAAAATGAATGAAGTAAATATCAACAAGTACCTTAGCCAATTCAATCCAATTCTCATCGTACCTGTTTTGTCAACATTTGTTGCCATCCTTGTGTTTTTATTTGGATTCAAACGCCCGAATGAGCCACGATTTCAGCCTAATTCATCTATAGATTCAATAAAAAAATCTAAAAAAAGCAAAAAGACAACAGATATTGCAGTTGCGATAGCGAATAAAAAGGGATCTGTAAATAGCAACAATAATAGCAGCAACAGTAACAACAACGTTAATAAAAAAAAGACTGATGAGAAGAAGTCTGATAATGGTTCTCCTACAAAGAAAGTTTTAAACAAAAAGAACATCAAAGAGTCGACAAACTTCGTCACTAAAAAGTCAAAAACAAATAAGAACAATTCATCGAACAGTACTGAATATGGTGAAAAGCCAGCTGATTTCGATGATGGCGGTTAGTTCACACTTGAATATTACTATATCATTATTTTTTCCATTATTTCAATTATAATTATACATTCATATCATCAAAACAATTAGAAATTAATAGAGTAGAGTTTTATCACATATAAATGAATAAACGATGAATTAAGAACAATTTGCAAATGGACTGTTCGCGCTATACTAAGCAAACAGATTGCTGAAAAATGTATATTTGGTAGTAGAAGTGGAAAGATGAGCAGAGCAACAAAGAAATTTCACATTTTGGTGAGTATATACAGCATAAAAATGCTCGTCGCATTGGTAATTGTCCAGTTTTAAGTCAAAAGCAAGTAGATGACATAGGACGCAGCCATTCAAAAAAACAATGGAACAAGAACAGCAAATTGGAAATTGTTGGTACGGCTATTAATCAAGCTGTATAGCTAAATTGGTTCAATCGGAGAGCAAGATGCTCTAAATATGATGAAGATGTTGTTTTTATGGATCGCAGTAACAACTACAAAAATTAAGGAAAATTTCAAGTTGTGTGCAATCATAATATAAAAACATTCAATTTGCTACTAATTTTTTTTTTTTTTTTCTCTTTTCTTTGTCATATTTTCTCTTCACAAATCCAAATACCAAATCACTACCAAATTTTAATTTTAAGCAATCTGTTTGCGAAAACGCAGTTAATCATTAAGCTATGAAACAAAATGTGTGCGCCATACTGAAAATAAAGTACACATAGCTAGACACTTAGAGTATAAGTGATGATAATGGTATCATTTCATTTCCATTATGTTGCATTATGTTCATTAATTTCTATTATTCCCATTTTTCTTTTCGGTCCCATTGCAATCCAGGTTGGTTCACTGTTCAATCAAAAAGCGCCAAGCAAAAAAATAAAGTAGACGATTCAACAAATGCAAATCAAACCGAAAATTCTCCACCAAAGGTTCAAAATACGAAGAATAATAAATCTTCAAAAATTGATACCAAGCAATCTATTGCTGCACAAGTGACTTCCAATGCATCGGAAATTTTGTTGCCCGATCAACAATCAAAGTCGGAACAACAAACAAATTTTGATCAGTCATTCAATGTTGCTAAAGCACAAGTAGTTGAACCAGTTACAGCAATTGAAGATCAGCCAGCTGATCATGTAACCAATAATGTCATGGTTCAAGCGGAAATAGAAAAGAAGTGTACCGCTAATGTCCAACTTGACGTTGCTGATATAAATGTAGTTGCAAACAGTGGAATTGCATTCGACGAATTGGAAGAATGGACCGACGCCAAACCAGATAGAAAGCGAGCTAACAAAAAAAAAACTAGAAAAGATATATAACTAAATAATAAAATTTCATGTACAAACATTGGCGATATCAACAAATGGAAAGTAGATTTAAAAATATTAACGATGCAAACATAAACATATTTGAAACGAACCTATTGATATGAAAATTGAATTGAATATGAGTTAAGTCGCCTTAAATACAGATTTTTTATAAATGCAGAAAAAAATAAAAACAATTAAATAAACGAAATAAATAATAAATCAGTTTTATAGAATTATGCACTGTATAGAAACTTGCTCAAAACAGTATAGAATTAAGTTAAAAAATTTATAATAAAATGAAGGCAATAAAGCTGAATTTAAATAATATTTGTCTCTTTTTCATAATATTTAAGATATAATAATGTGAAATTTGACCTTTAGCCGCTCATTTTTTTTAATTATGCATAAATGTGTACTGTAATGATCATTGAATAAAATTAGTAAAGCAAAAGTTGTGTTCTTGCGCGGAAATGTCTTGAAAATAAAGGTGCAAGCGATCAAAATGTGTGATTGTGACTTTTAGAATCGAAAAAGAGATAAAAATGTGCATGGAAAACAAAAAACGGATTTTTTTTAATATTTTGCCTTTGATTGTGTATAAAAACTATATGACGGCCCACAATGTATGAACGGTCAAATGTTAACCTTCCTGCAGACAGTACATATTGAGAACAGATCAATACAGTATGGGCTTCTCAGGCCCTCCATACAAAATATATGAAAATAGTTCCAAAATGCAAAAAACCCACATGAATTTTTAATTTTTATTCGATGAAAATGAAAAGTGAGTTGAATAAATAGAAATACAAATAAAAATTACTGAAACTTGTTTCCTAAAGAGTTGAAAATATATGTCTTACTTATATGTGTGTGCTATACAAATATTCGACCGATAATACACAATGCCTACCGATGTACTTGGACTAAATTCAGCTCAATAAATTATGAACATTTATATTGCGAACTCAACAAAAATTCTTCCACTAACAAAGCCAAATGAAATATGTATTCATCAAAGAAAGTGAAATGACTGACCGGTATTCTATTGCAACTGTTTCATCACACATTGATAAATTCCGGAGATACATAAATTAAATTGGTATAAAAATGTTGGAGACGACAAACTATAAAAAATAAAAATTTCTTCGAAAATGTTTTTCTATATATATGGAGCCTATACTGTCTGTTTGAAGTGAGATTTTGGTTTTTGTCAAAACAAAATTTTTTCTATAGTTTGTGTTTTTTCCGTTATATATATTTTTGTGTTCTGATATTAGCTTAACGCGCAAGTTTGAAGTAAATCGATTTATTAGTTTGGATTTTATTCAATCGTTTCGCTGGCCCTGACAGACCCATTCTGTCTGCAGGATGGTTAATCTAAAACATCTGCAAGAAATTGTGGAAGAATTAAATCAAATTGAAAGTATAAGGATTTCGTTGTTGAAAAAAATCATTTTATTTATTCATCAAAATAAAGAGTGTGTTCAACGTTTTTGTGAATTTAACAATAGATGGACAAAATGGAAAAGAGCATTTATTTATTTATTTATCTATTGTATAACAACAACGCTAATCAAATTAAGAAGAATGTAGAATAATAAACATTTATCGTTCGAATTTCTTTTTGCTGCCTTGATTCCGGTCGATTTGCTTAAATTTGCGTTTTTTGTCAGTTTGATTCATGGCTTTGTATTGACCATATCCACCACCACCAACTCTCTTTTCTGGTCGGCTACGAATTTTATGTGTCATTTCTGAAATTACATAAATTAAAAATGGTCTTCGTTTAAATGAATGTTGTTAAAAAAGCTTAAAATTATAAACTCACTCAAATCCACCACGGGTGGCACAGTGAATCCGAAACTCAATGCCACTTTTGCCAAATCCAATGTATCAACATTAAAAATTGTTTTTAATTGATGCGAATCATATGCTCTAACATAAGATTTAAAGGCCTCCTTTGCTGATTGGTTCAAAAAGTAGTTTTTGGAAATCAACTTTTCCAACTGAAAGTTTGAATTTTATTCCATTATTCATTTGATAAGTGTTGAAGAATTAAATTCAAAAATAATTGGATAATAAATTACCTGAAGTTGAATGTCAGCTATTTTACTCCAAGAAAATTCAAATTCATTTAATGGTACTTTTGCTTGTTTCAAGTATCGCAAGAAACCCAATTCTTCGGGTCGAAGAATTAACAGTGCATGCCCAGAACTACCTTCTCCACGTGCAGTTCGGCCGACACGATGAATGTATTCCTTAATAAAAAGAGTTTAATAAAGTAATGATTCCAACGAGTCTTGTAAGGAGAGAATTAAGTAAAGATTGTTAAATACTTTTGGATCATCTGGTGGGTCGAATTGAACAATCCAGTCGACGGCTGGAATATCTAAACCACGTGCAGCAACATCTGTACATAATAGTGTACCTAAGGGGAGAATCACAAAAGAAAAGAATTAATTGGAAATAATCGATAAGTAATCGACAAATAATCGAAAAATAATCAATAACAATTATTAAATAATAGAAAGGTAATTTTTAAGTGAATTGCCCCTAGAATTTACCCGATTCGGCGTTGCAAAATTGGAAAAATGTTGTAGTGCGCTTGGTTTGTTTTTGCTTGCCCTGTAAAAATATAATTGATGATCGTTTTTTGAAATATAATATTTTATTTTGATCAACTTACATGGATCGATGTAACTGGTAAGTCAATGTAATTGAAAAGTTCATGATGATATTTAACTGACATACATGATGAGAAAAATACCATAACCTTCTTCTTACGATTCTTTTTTAAAAACGTAAATAGAACCAATAGCCGTTTTTCAGATGGACAAACAATATAGCCTTGTTCCAATCCAGTAACTGTTGCCGTTTCTTTGTTATCATCAACACCAACATAAATGGGTTCCTTTTTCAATGCTAATTTAGTAAGTGCGTCAATTTTATCGGTTTGAGTGGCCGAGAAGAGCATTGTTTGTCTACGCTTAGGCAATAAATTTACGATTTGTTTCAAATCTTCTTCAAACCCGATTTCAAGAATCCGATCAACTTCGTCAATTATTAAGCACTGAAGATTTTTATATAAGAATTCGGGTGTATTTTGTAAGTGATCTAGTAAACGGCCAGGTGTTGCAACGACAATATTGATACCCTTCGCTAATTTTTCAGCTTCAACTGATCGATTCGCACCGCCCATTATTAAACCGTACGTATGACTATGATGTGCCATCAATTCCTTTAGTACACCGAACGTTTGCATTGATAACTCACGTGTAGGTGAAATAATTATAATGCCCGTACCTAAGGGGAGAATCACAAAAGAAAAGAATGAAATTTAATAAATAATCGATAAGTAATCGGAAAATAATCGAAAATAATGCCCGTACCATTTCTTGGCATGAACTTTAGTTTTTTTATGAGTTCAACGGCTGGAATGAGAAATGCCAATGTTTTACCCGAACCGGTTTTTGCAGCACCTACAAGGTCCCGTCCATCTAGTAATGGAGCAATAGATTTTGATTGAATTTCCGTCATCGTAGTGAATCCCATTTCTTCTATGGCTTTTAAGGTTTCTTTGGATACTTGCTCCTTTAATGAATTAAATGATCGATCAGTAGGCTCTTCGTATCTGAATCACATAGAAAAGAATGGAAATAATCGAAATTAATCAACAAGTAATGGAAATAAAAAAAAAAATAACTGAAAGAATAGATAATATGTCAAAAAATTTCTTCGTACACTTTGACATTTTCGATATTTTCTGCATTATTGGTAATTTCAGTACTATCATTATTTGTATCTGCTACATCATTACTCAAATCGTTTGCAAGACCTTCACCTTCTTCGGATGACCTGGGTTTTCTCTTGTTGTTCTTCCCTATGGAAATCAAAAATTCTAATTTAGTAATAAATTCACACGAAAATCTGCAATAAGAGTATTGAAGGCGGTTAAAAGTTTTTCAGTTTAATAATATTCGATTTCATTTCAGCTCAACTGGATAATAGAACCGAACGGAATTACTTCAACGTACTGTTGTAGATCTCAGGAACATTCAAATTCGCCTTATTTATCGTCATGTTATACGAAAAAAGTATAAATATTAATTATTATATATTATTACCCATTTTCGAAGTTTCTTTGGATTCGCTTACATCTTCAAATTTGCGCTTCTTGTTATTTTTGTCGTTCATCAAGCTTTTCACAAACTGACCAGAAACATCTTCATTGCAACAAATGAAAAAAAAATAAACAAATAAAATATAACGAAATTGTAGTGATTTGATTTATTTGATTTTAATTTTTTTACTGCCACTGCCACGCTATGTACATTGTACAATTGCAGCCCTAATTCAAGAAAATCAACAATGTTCAATAAACTCATAATTTAAAATTAGAGGTAGTTATGACCGTTATTTGTTAGTACGGCCTTGCCCGAGTACGACATATTATCCGTAAGTGAGTATAGTATAATATTAAGTCTTTGAAATTAGTGTAATAGTCAACTAATTGAATTTCTTTCTCCTTTTTTATATACATTGTGACGTTATTTATGACTGAAACTACACACAAATCCGGGCATCATAATAATGATTTGAAGTTAAAATTTGTTTCTTGGGCAGGAAAATCTAATCATCATAAAATCAAGACGAGAATAAAAATAGCCACTAAAAATAATTTTTTTTTACTTACGTTTAATTTCCTCATCTGATGGTTCTTTTATGCTATTTACAGCTTGTTTATTTGCTATTATTTGTTTTTTGGCTTTTTCGCGCTTTTTTATTTTCCTCATTAAAATCTTTTCGGGGACCACCATTGTTCTTCTTTTGCTCTTTTTAATAATCAAAAGTAGAAAAACAACTTGAATAACAATACCAATTTCTGAAAGGAAAGAAATAGTGCCGCAATTATAGTTTCACGTGTGTTTATGTACTGTTGCAAATGACAGGTCATGCAATTCACCACCGAACCACATGGTTAGAAAATTGTATTTTTGGTTTAGTCAATTTGGTGAAAACTACAAGAATTTCTTTTGAAAATGTTACGATTTTATCTGAGTAATTCTTAGTAAGAAAATGTATTAAATAATTTACTTATAACTTTTTCTTATTAGTATTAATTCAACATTTCAAAACAAATAGATCGTTTTTATCAATATAAAAAATATATATTGCCAATATTTGTTAAAATATAATTATTTCAAAATGTAAAGAAATATTTTCTGTAATAATGAAATTCACCACATATAAATATTTTCACCATAAAATTGGCATCCATATTGGCATCCATGATAGATTAACTGTCAAAGCGGCCATACTAGCCTTTCGTACTTCCTCTCCAACTTTTTGACTTTCTTTTGCGAGTTACTACAAACTGCATAAACATGGGTCGTATGCACGCTCCTGGGTAAATGTTGATTTTTTTCTAAATTTTATGTGTTTAGTTGAATTTTTTAATATAACATCAAATACCAAGTGTAAAAAATATGTAGTGAAATAAAAATCATGACTTTTATTGCATAAAAAAGAATAAATTTGCGTGACTTTTTGGTGCACATGGTTTCATACTTTGTTGTTAGTCTTAATTTAATACTTATGGCAACTGTTTGTGAAGAATTTTCCATCTAATTTCGTTAAATTATATATTTCAGTAAGGGTATTTCCCAATCAGCTTTGCCATACCGTCGTTCGGTACCATCATGGTTGAAATTGAATGCCGAAGATGTTAAAGAACAAATCAAGAAGCTCGGCAAAAAAGGAATGACACCATCACAAATCGGTTAGTAATTGAGGTTATGTTATAAATTCTATCAAGAAATTGTTCTTAGATAAATGCTTTAACTCAATTAAAACAAATCCAATGTTTATTATATTTTTGTTTATGTATTTTCTTTTTTTTTTTTTTTTTGATAAATAGGTATTATTCTTCGTGATTCACATGGTGTTGCTCAAGTTCGTTTTGTGAGCGGTAACAAAATTTTGCGAATCTTGAAATCATTGGGATTGCGTCCGGATATCCCTGAAGATTTGTATTACTTGATCAAGAAAGCTGTTGCTATTCGCAAGCATTTGGAACGCAACCGAAAAGACAAAGACAGCAAATTCCGTTTGATCTTGGTTGAATCGCGTATCCATCGTTTGGCTAGATTTTACAAGACAAAGAGCGTATTGCCACCAACATGGAAATACGAATCCAGCACAGCATCAGCATTGGTTGCCTAAAATGTAATCCGGGCAAAATACAGATGTTTTTGAAAATAAAAATGTAAAAGTTTTTTTTAAAACAAAACACCTGAATATAAAAGAAAATTTACTGATAAACAAAAAATTGTGCAAATCTCGTGTTTCTTTTTATTTGGACCATTTAAAAAATGGATAATTTGAATAATTTCAGTACTTGATTTGAATGAGATTGTAGAGAAAATTGAAGTGCTATAATATTGGTTCCCATAGAACATTTACTTCCTTATACAATTTTTACAATTTGAAAAGTTTTTAGTATGTAATGAAACATTTGCTGGAAAAACGGTTTTAACTTCATTTTGAACCTCACCAACAATTATATTATATATTTGATGCCATCGGCAGTTCAATTTTTCAATTTTTCTATAAAGAGATATATAATAAGGTATAATATAATGTTTGCAACTGATTAATTTATCAATAATATAATCATCATCTGTACCTGTGTAAAAATTTTAAAGCAATCGAAACGTCACATAATTTGTGAGCACATGCAAATTCTTTAAAAAAATATACAATTGATTTAATATCACTATCGTTCGGATCAACGCGGCTCTGGAGCCAATACGAAAGGATTTGTCGCCACTCATTAGATCTCAAAATATTCTCCTTGGAAATATACTAAAATAGAGAAATGAGTCAGTATTTAGTTTCATTATTTTTTACTTCCATTATAGTTATTATAAACAAAACCTTTTGATGTTTATGATCGCCGTTTATGTCTTTGAAATCATTCTCTAGTTTACGTGCTATAGTGTTTTTTGTTATTTTCGGTCGTAGCCAATTTTTGACGTTGCTATCATAGGTAGAAATTGCATCCCCATCCAGTAAAATTTCTTCTTGTATTTCTTTTGGCAATTCAGATAGAACAGTCAAATCTAGTTCATCACATATTTTATGCAATTTTCGGGCTGAGTTATTTGAATTTGTTTTATCAAATTGATCACATCCATTAAAACTTTTCACTTTTCGTAAATTTAATTTGTGATCAGTCTTTTTTGTACATGCTTTTGAGGTATTTTGTTCAACATTTGATTGAGCAATAATCTCTGTATGTGAGTTTTGTGCTCTGGCAAATAAACTTTTTAAAGAATTTTTTCTATTCATATCACATTTTGAATGATTCAGTTTTGATATTTGAATACCAATACCTCTCACTTCTTTTGGAGAAACGTTTAACATTTTTTTTATATTAAATACTTTTTGAGAAATAATTTGTAGATCAGAGGTGTACGTTGAAAGCGTTAATGATTTTGTCAGGTTATCACAAAATCCATGGCCAAGAAATTTGGCTGTTTCTATAGGAGCCTCTTTGGCTCGAACCATATATTTCAGTGTAATCATTTTGGCTTTTGCCGATATTTCAGTCAAACGAGTATGAACTTCTGAAACCAACTGGTTAAGAAACGTGTCCAGTTCTTTTTCGGTTGTAAATCTAATACCGTAGTTAATTTCCGCTGATACCGACTTACGAACCTTTATTTTTAAAAGAAAAAAATATTCCACGAATTAATTAAAATCGGTGAAAACGGTGTTATTTAAAAAATTTCGCACTTGGTCATATATTAAAGGCTTGTTATCAAGACCTCGGCAATATTGATATAAAGTTTCACCATGCTTCTTTCCGAATTCTTGTTGCAATTTCGCTAAAGAGATCCTTTGTAGATCTGCACAAGTAGTCAATCCAAGATTAGAACATCTTTGCCAAGTTGATTGTCCAACACCTATTTGGCAGAATATCAAAAAATATGTGTTCAAATGTATTTTATTTTTAATATCGATTTATTCAAAATTGAATGTAATAATGTGAACACGCGGTGGTACAGGGTCTTTGAATAAATCCTGAATTACATTCGAAACGCGAGAACTCGTTACACGTTCCACTTCATTGCGAAACTGTTGACTAAAGAAATATCTGATTTATACGCATACGAGTTTCGTTGTCCCGATAACATTGTTACATTCAATTTTCAAAACATCAATATTAAAAATGAAATACATTTGAATTACCAGGCAAATCTGAAATGGGAATATCACAAAAAAATTCTTCGACTTTTTCGTTTTTCAAGTGAAACTGCCCATTTGGTTTTGCTTTTTTTGTAGCCATTCGAGCTTGAAGCCTGGAAAATCGAAAAATTAATAAAAATATAGGTATTACTCCAAATTTTGAATGAAAGAAACCCAACTTATTTTCTCCGATTCCAGCTGAACACGGACATTGTGTCCTTTCACTAATTTGTGTGCGAATGTACGAAACAAAATCCTCAACTGAACATTTTAAAGTGTTTATAACGTTCGTTAGATTTACATACATCTCATCACAACTGACGGCTTCAACATCCATAGTGTACCTTTGAAAATATCGAAAAAATTAATTGTTGTCTTAGTAATTTATATTTAGCCTTTTTCAACTTACTTCGTGATAGTGTCGTAAAGCATATGCGCAATCTCTTTGTAAGCATCGAAGTCATATGGAATTGTTTTTAGTTGCGGACATAGTTTTAGGGCTGCTCCAACAAACATTCCATTTCTGACTCCAGTTTTCCTAGCTTCATAACTACAAGAAGCGATTTCTGATAATGATATTGTATCAATGGACGACTTTTTTTTTATTTTATCATTAGAATTATCAATTTCTAATTGTTTCGTCATGTATTTATCTTCATGTCGCTTAACATACAATTCCATTTCTTTTTTTCGATCCACTCCGATTTCATTTTTAAGATTGTTACCATTGTATCCTTTTGAATGAGTTACTGCAATTGGAAAACCTTTCAAGTTTGGCCTTGATCGGAGACCAACAGAAACAAAGAAGCAATCCATATCAATGTGCATAATGATATTATTCCCAGTTAAATGTTCTTGATTCATTTGTAATATTCCTTTAAGTTTATTTAAATCAGGAAATTCCCCGGTGTGGTTTTCGCGAAGCTGCGATATAAATTGCTTTAAAGATGCTCCCAATGTGGAAATGTGATGTAAACGAGAATTATTATAGAATTCAGTAAGAAAGTTTGGATCGACTGCTGTCTTTGCTAATTTGGAATGTCCCATTTTGACTTCATTTTTTGTGGAACTTTCGTTAGTTTGTAATAATGCGGTGTCATTACATTTTGATTGTTCTTCACGTCTAATTGCCGTATTCAAAATATCCAAATTCAAATCTATCATATTCATATCTGGTTTCGTTTGTTGAGAATGAACTTTGTCATTAGCATTAATGTCATTGGTAAGAGGTAACTGAACACTTTTCTTTTCGAATGTAATTTTTGGTTGTGATATTTTGGAATTCGTATATAAAAGATAATTGGAATAGTCTATAATTTTATTCATTCGAATACATTCACAAATCCATTGTGGACTGATGATTTTAGCGGTAGTGATTTGGCGAATTTTCGTATCCGGTAAATGACTGGCAATAATAAATGTTGTTGAACTCCTAGAATATTTGAATTTAATCCTATTATTCATTTCAATTTGTTTGTAATAAATATTGCGAATTTACCTTTGATAAGTATGATAAACTCCACCATGTATCATCATTATTTGTTTTAGCTCTTCCGCGGATGGATTTGTCAGCCCATTGACTATTTCACAAAATAACTTGGGCAAATTAAAATAATAATAATAATAAGTTAAGGCCATATTTGCTAGGCGCACATACCGAATATAGAAATTCCTGAAAAAAGTTCGCTTTTTTTGTAAGGATTCTTAAGAACATCCTCTGCAAATTGCTCCTCAAGTTTGGATTTCTTTGCGTCCATATATCCACCCTAATAGATTACGAGATTCAAATTTAGCGATTCAAGAGTATGAAATAAAAAATAAAAAGAAAAATTACCCATTCACCAAAACCATTATGAACATCAACAACATGTTTTGCATGTCTTTTTTGCATCAGGAAAATATCGATTCGATTTCAAAACTTAATGGTTGAAATAAAATGAATTTGAATACCGAACTTGGAAATTAATTATAAATAGAATTGTCAACAAAAGAGATGTACGTCAAATTTATAATTGCCTCGTTCAAAAATGCGTGCAGATGGTGCTGGTGAAGCACACAGCTACCAACCAAATATAATAAAAAACGCATGAAAAATGCAAGCGATTGGCTGCATGTACCGACATTGACAAACCACACAAAGTTACAACTAATATTAATAAAGTACAGATTAAAACATTCTTTTGTTGCCGTAAATCGTGAAAAATTGTTGAAAGAAACACCTCTTTTTAAAGCGAACAGCATAGAATTTGAGTTATATATAGAATCAAAAAAAAAAATATCGAATTGAATTGACCGTAAATGGATTAGAGCAGTCTTCAAATTTTACTCATTAATAACAAATAGTTTTGTAATGGCCGATTTGGACGCTGTGAATCTTGGTCTTGATGAAACTGAAGTTGACATGACGGAAGGTATGCACGAATTAGAAGAAACATTTGATACACGCAGTGAAGCATCTGGAAATTCATCCAGTTCATCTTCAGGTAGCCCAAGTATAAGTTCAGTTAGCACCCGATCATCGAAAAGTGCAAAAGTACGCCGATCACATTTAAACCGTGAACGAACTACAAACAAAAAATCAAATAGTCCGAGCCCAGACAATGCAAAAAGGCATCAGAAACAGAATTCCAATCATCAGAAGAAAAGCGAAAAGAGCAACAACAATTCAACAAAATCATATGATTATATCACAAAGATTAATTACTTATTCAGAGAAACACGGTTTTTTGTAATTAAATCAAACAATGCCGAAAATGTGAGTTTATCAAAATCGAAAGGTGTTTGGTCAACATTGCCACAAAACGAAGCAACGTTGAACCAAGCGTTCAAAGAAAATCGAAATGTTATATTGATTTTTTCGGTTAAAGAAAGTGGGAAATTTGCTGGTTTTGCTCGAATGGTTGGTGAATCAAGACGTGATGTACCGGCTGTTTCATGGGTATTGCCGCCAGGTATATCAGCAAAAGCGCTTGGAGGTGTAATTGAAGTAGACTGGGTGTGCAAAAAAGAACTGTCTTTTACAGCGACTGGTCATTTGTTCAATCCATGGAATGAAGGAAAACCGGTGAAAATTGGCCGTGATGGTCAAGAAATCGAGCCAAAAGTTGGTGCTGAACTCTGTCGATTATTTGAGGAAGACGAATCAATTGATTTGACACAAATACTGAAAAAATCCAAGGAATCAGCCCGCATTTTACGTGAAAAGGGAGTGAAACCTGCCTTTAAAATAGCACCAATTCGACCTAGTTCGACCGGAAATGGAAGTGGTATTTTACAGAGAAATCGCGGCCACATAGCTAATGTTCGCGGTGGTCGCAAAAAGTTATTTGGATTAACTACACGCAGTAAATTAAATAGCGTGGCAGCTAACTCAAGTATATTCAAACGCTCAGCGTCACCATATGTGAAACGTGATCGTTCTCATCATTATGAGCGATATAGCTCAACAGCTGCGGCCGAAGCATATGTAGCTGACTACATGCATTTAATGCAGCATCAATTGCCACCGATGCCATACGCACCCCCTCCTGGATTTGCATCAATGATGCAATCGCCCTATGAAAATTTGCCACCACCACCTCCTCGGTACTATGATATTCCATCGTTAGGAGAGTATCCTCCGCAGTTACCATCGGTACCATCACGTTCATCAAATTCTCGTCCATATGATCGTGATGAATTCTTGTGGAAGAATGACAGAAAACTTGTTCCACCGCCTCCAATATATCCACGTGACTATCATTCGTCGGCATCATCTACACGAGAAAGAGATCGACGAGATGACCGAAGTCATCGAAACCGGAATAGCAGGCGATGATAATTTCATACAGCATAATTGCAGTCATTCATGTTATTCTCATACAGCAAAAAGAAAATATTTAAAAAACAAACAACAACAATAAAATGTCTCAATGCAACATTACCGAATGACAAAATTTTCATTTTTTATAAATGTTTCTCCAGCAGGGAAAATACTATTGATATTTTCACATAGATTGTCATGTTGAATAATATTATGTCTCTAAAATATATATCTTTTTTTAATATCTCAAAAATAAAGGTTACACTGCAAATAATTCGAAATAAAAAAAAAAATAAAATAAATTAAAAAATAAAAAAATTGTTGTATGTGTACAATTGAACAATTATTAAAATGAAATACATTTTTAATTAAAAAATAAAATAAAATAAAATGAGGATGCGAGAGATAGAGAGAGAAATGTTGCCACATGCAACTGTGATGTCTTAATATTTAAAACAAGAAAAAACACAACATAATAATCATTCGTTTATTTAATTTAATTAATTTAAGAAAAATGAATAAGAAAATAAAATTCAAAACTTGATAATTAAGTCATATATTTCGTTTCAATGTTATTTAAAATTCCAATTGATTTCCAAGTACGAAACAATTTCTTGAAGCATCATAAGCTGGTAGAAAATGAACAAAAACCATGGAAAAAATCATGCGATTGGTTTTTTCTAATTATTGTTCAATAAGTTCTAGCCTTGTGTAAAATACTATTTTAATGCAATCTTTCCATCCTGGAAATGTTGCTTTGTAAAAATGTAATTAAAAAAATAACAATAATAATATTATTTGTTTAAATTATGTTTGAATCAATTTTTGAAAATTTGAAAAATATAATAAATTATTTGAATTTGTAAATTTATTCCACATTCGGTACAAATTAATTGCTTTTACTATAAGAACTTGCTTTATTTTGAATATGATAATCAATGATAACTGTTCAGCGAAGTCTGTACTTATTCTTGCATATCAATGGGTAAATTGAAAATTCTTTTATAGTATCGTTTGATAAATTACGTTGAATACTCTGGAGAGTGATAGTAAACATTATTCGCACACATACTAACGCATACATACAAACATTCATACATACACACACACACATAGCGCCATTTGCTTTAATCTCTGAATGTGTTTAAGTAAAAATATGGTTACAATGACTACATTTATCAAGCAGTTCGATTTTAACAACCGGCAGAATAGGTAAAGTGTACTCACACTCTCTGTCAGTACAATCATAAAGAAAAAACACGGAAGAAAAAAAACATTTTGCTTGATTGTATTTATCATAGTATCTAAAAGTCTGAACGCAAAAAACAGTGAGACACACAGTAAACAGTCAGCGCGTCAACACAAATGTTGGAATACACATAAATTTGATACATACGCGCAAGAAACAGATAGACTGAGAAATACAACACCATTAAAGGCAGTTGCAAAAGTAGCAGCACTCAAAGAACAGCCAAAGAGCCAAAAGTAAAAAAAAAACAACATATTTTTTTTCTTTTGATGTTTTCCACTAGTATCTATTTATTTTACAAAAATCAAGTGAAGAGATCTCGAGATTTTTATTTGCAACAGCAAAATAACTATTCATTGCGCATCTTCTAATACGGGAAAACCCAATAAATTTGTGTCGTGTATCACAGAGGAAAAAAAGATTAGCATATTTCATACGAAAAAGACAATTGATCGTCAAGTAACAGTAAAGTTGTTTTAAAATTAATTTAATATTTAAATATTTGACTGAAAAAATTTCTTATCAAATGTCTTACTAACCATTTCGGATTTTCAATTCAACTTTACATCTATTTCGATTGCAAGTGATTGAGACTCTTACATTTGTGTTTTGATAAAGTAACAAAAAAACGTATACAATCACACTGTCAGCGAAAAAAGAGTGAAACAAAACAAGTAAATTCAGTGAACAAAGTAAAGTGCCGAAGAAAGTGATGATTCAATTTATTTGAAAACTAAGGGAAGAGATAGCAAACTATATACTATCTAATACAGATTTATTACCTTAATTTCGGCAATTTTAACAAATTACTTGTAAGTTATAAAGATAAAACAGTTTTATTGAATAAAATTTGTTATCAAAGATCTTAAAATTCATTCAAAATATTGATATGTTCCATAATCATTTAATTGAGAGAAGAGTATATATTTGAACATACTTTCGTAGACATCGGATGCCATCAGACATTGGTGTCTAGGGCGGAACGCCAGCTCAAAAAAAAATTCAGCCACGACGCTGATAATCTATAGGATAAAGGCACAACTATTGTCTATACGTGCGTATACAATTTCATATACACAATGCTAATAGAGCGCAGATGCAATCTGTCAATGACTTGGTCATACAAATATGCATGTATACAATGCATGTATGTTTGTGAATCAGAAAGATTGAAAAACATTTCAACACATTTTATCTTATTAGGATGACAACATGATATTCCTTAAAGCCATCATCAAAATACATAAATATTTTTATAAAATTCAATAGATTTGTTTCAAGAGTTTCTGAAAAATAGCTCGAATGTCTCATGTCACATCAGTAAAACTAAGATTCAATATAAAACTTGATTGACCCACACCCAAAAACAATATTTATTTCCCACATCTCAATAACAACAATAATCAATAGCAACTCTCTCTTATGTTTGTTTTGAGTTCAACTCTCTTGGAATTCATATCATTCTCAAAATTCATTTAAATGAAAAAAGAAAAACATTTTTCAACGTGTACAAATCAACAAAAATCAGAATACATACAAATTTATAGTGAAATGATGCGAACTTGTTAGAACGATTAAACATTTTTTTGATTCTTCAAAATCTGAATGTCACTTTTTGGTATATTATTACCATAACCTTGAGATAAATTCTTGTGGTGTATGCTAGGGTATATGTTATATCATATTACTACTATTCTTCATCATTTTATTTGTGGGAGTTTTCAAATAATTCTAGAAGCATTAAATACATATTTTTGGCGTATTATGTCATTTCAGCAAACATATTCAGAATTCTATGTCTTTAAAGAGTATTTTGTTATTGAATTGATTGTCACGCTTTGCCCAAAATGGATAAAAAATGTTTAACCCTAAAACCGTCCATAGGGCACTCAGTGCACGAGCAAAATTTCAAACTAAATATAAACCAATTTTTTTTTCATCAAAAATCACTAAACCCCGATTTTTTGATCCGAAAATATATTATAAAAAAATTCTGCCGAAATTTTGTTTTGCATTGAATTGCTTCGATTTACTTTTACATATACACAACAAACATGTCTCGTGTTCAATTCATGTTTTTATTCATTTATATGTGAATTTCTATACTCAGATAAATTTAAAAGAGAAAACTTAAAGGCAAACAGTGTAAAATGCCATTTTGAAAATGAAACTGGTCGAATTCATAGTCATCGCAAAAATTTGTTCAGCCAATATTTCTTTATTTTGTCAGCACAGTATAAAAAACGTAGCTGCCAATCTGCTGCGTACATTCATGTCTTAAGTTTACGAAATTACACAATATTTCTCAAAATATCGCGAAAATTCAAAATAAAAAATTGAAAAATTTCCATTTTTTCATACAAAATACACTAACGGGCACTGAGTGCCCCAAAGACGAAGTGATACAATTTAGTAAAAATTTGTTCAGCCAATATTAATTTATTTTATAAGCATAGTATACAAAACGTACATTCATGTCTTTAGTTTATGATTAGACACAAGATTTCTCGAAATATCGAAAAAAGTTCAAAAAGATGTACGCGAAAACAGACATTTGACAAAAAAAATTATCTTTCTCTTCGTTTATAGCAATTTTATAGCAGTTTCAACAATGGTTTCGATTGTTCACCAATTTTGTCAATAGCATTTTTTGAGTAAACTATGCAATTTTTTGAATTTCGATTATTTTTTTAAGGAATTTTAAACCAAAGTAATCATAGAAAAATAGTTCTCATGTCGAAAAAAAATTAATGCATTAGAGGGTTAAAGATAATATTAAAAAAAAAAAAACAAAGTAACCGAATTACGACACTTTTGGGAAAAAACTAAATGGAAAATTGAACATTTTCCATTGGTTTTAAATATATTGCTAACGAAATTCATTTCCATTTTGAAGCTTAAAATTTTTGTCAATGTAATTTTATTTTTTTATTATGTACTATCTCAAAAATATTGTCATGAATCAATAAGTCTCGCAACCTGCCGACGTTTGTGAGTTTTATTTCATAAAAAACATATATTTTGAAGGCGATATTTATTTTTGCGACAGCAAAAAACCGAGTGAATTTTACAACAAAATAATAAGTCAAATCATTGAATCGAACACCTTTTGCATTGAATTAGTCTCTTCTCGTTCAATGTATCAAACTTTTTTTTTCACTGTTTCGATTTTTTTTATAACGGGATCTGTGTGATATTAAACGTACGAAAAAAAATCGAAATAGAAAGTATTAAATCACATTGAATGTCTTTAGCGTCAAATTTTCATATGCAACAACGAATTTACGTTATAATTTTCCTTACACACCTAGTGTGTAAGGTAAAGTATTGGAATCGGTCGAAAGATTAACACCCTCAAAAACATGTTTTCTGAGAGTTTTAGGAGCCAGGAAACACAAATCAGTCGTTTTTTCGATGTCCGAATGTATATGCGTGGTATCCTGTACCCTGTACGCTGTACGCTGTAAGCAAAAATTTGTTAACACGATAACTTTCAAACAAGAAAAGTAATTCAAAATCTGACTTCACAGGATGATTGGGGTTGCCGAGGAATAGAAACCATTGGATTTTGAGAGACTTTGGTTGATAGAGTGAAGTGTCATGTCTGGTGTGATGCCCATGGGAAAAATTCAATTTTTCTTCCAAAAGTTGTATTCAATTAATTCTTAAACACTCAAAAATATGTATTGGGGGTTTTTTTGGTACTGGAAAACCGAATATGATATTAGTTTTGCGATACAAATAATTTTCGAAAACTTTTCATACAAAAATTTCAAAAAAATTAACAGCCATGCCTGTATGATATCGTAATGAGCTGAAACTTTGCACAGCTTATTTTATCACACAAAAATAACATTCTAAGAGTTTAAAGAAATGTTAATGGGTACCTCCCGAACAAAATTTGGATTTTTCGCTCAAAAACGAAATTGTATTAAAATTACGATATCATACAGGCATTGAAAAATGTATCAGAAATTATTTGTATCTCAAAACTAATGTCAGATTCAGATTTCTCATGAATTCATATTTACGGTAAAATATATGTAATAAATGAATGTTGTGGATCACAGTGCGGAAAAGTTCATCTTACGGATGTAAGACATTTTATTTAATGTTTAATTCAAATCCAGTTGAGACAAAAAAATACTCTTTGTTTATTCTTCTTTTCTTCTACCTTATGCCGCAGAAATATGCATGCATTTTTGCCCAATGATGCACAAACAAATTTGTGTAGTTTTGATTTAGTAATATCCACAACTTGAAAATAAAATGTAAAACGAATATTAAATAAATAATAATTCATTAGATAAAAAATTAAATCAATAAAACTACATGAATTGATATGCTCCCTCCAAAATTTGATTTACATACTACAGTTTGACTAAACTTGCTGTAGTGTGCTCATTCACATTAGACGTACATTTTTCTGTTGCATTTGTTGACATTAAAACACATATTATCAAATCCCTTACCAGAAGCCCGGATAACTAATATGGATAACTAATACGCTGCCGCTAATGTCAGAAATCTAACATTAATAATAAGACTTTTCAATACAACTTTAAGTCGGAAATATATTTACAATAGACGGCGTCTGTGTCTGCTCTAAGCTCATCATTGAAATTTCTCATCAACCCAATCAATTTCAATGCTGAGCTTAGAGCAGACACAACCTCCATCTATTATAAATATATTTTCAACTTAAAGTTGTGTTAAAAAGTCTCAATATTAATGTTAGATTTTTAACAATACGGGTAACACATTGGTATTTTACAAGACATTACCGGTATTAGCTATTGAAATTGTAATGTTAGTTATTAACTATTACAGATATTTATATTAATGTAATGGTTAGTAAGATTACAATTTCAATGCTGGTAAATCTGAAATGATCACGAATAACTAATGCCATGAGGTCAATCACGAAATTCTAGTGCGTCTTGTTTTTGATAAAATTTCACTAGAAAACTAGAAAATTCTAGTGCGTGAAGTTGTCTCTCAGTAGTTTTTCATATAAATTATATGGCCATTGGTGTGAAGTTGGCTTCGTTTGTGACGTCATTCTTCGCACTAGATTTACTAGTTTTTCTAGTATTCACTAGCGTGATTCGCCCCATGACTAATGCAGTGTGAACCGATGCATTATAGTGATGCAAAAACTACGAGTTGTCTGTCCATAATTCCGGCCGCTTTTTTCGAATTGCTTCACGCAAACGACGCATAACACCCAAACACCATGAGCGCGACGTGAGACGTACGATTGAAAAACTTGACATCAGCGCCAGTCACTCATAACTAAAAATGCTACGAATTCGCAATAGATGGCGTTTATAAATCGACAAACACGCTTAGATTTATTTATTTTTATTGGAAGAAAAATGAAAAATATTGAAAATTTTTGGTTTTTTTTTTAAATGCACAGAAGTTTTCAAGAAGAAATCAGTTGTTATTATAATTTTATAAAATATTTTAAAACACTCAATTTATCTTATTATATATGATATTTCAGTGTGCCATACTCACTGTCGACAAGATACACACGCAACAGTGTTGAGTATAGTGCACATCATGTATATCGTATAGTGTACACTATACTCGACGCTGATGTGTATCATGTGCAGTATAGCTTGATAGACAACATAACACATGTGCACAAAGGCACCCTGAGATATCATATATGATAAAATAAATTGAGTGCTTAAAATATTTGATAAAATTATAAATCTTACAAATTTCTTCTCAAAAAAATTCTGTGCATTTTGACAATCAACCAATACAACATTTTTGAGATATCGAAACAACAAATATCACATTTGATATATTGTAATCAAAGAAGCACTAGAAGTCTCATCATTTAAAATTGAAATCTTTGAATTAAGTATTTTAAAAATATTTCAATATTTTTCATTTTTCTTCAAATAAAATCTAACCTTGTTTGCCGATTTAAAGGTGCCATCTATTGCGAATTTGTACCATTTTTAGTTATGAGGGACTGGCGCTCATGTCAAGTTTTGTCATGTCGCTCCCATGCCAAACACCCAGTTGGAAGAGATTGGACTTGCTTTGTCGTGGTTTTTTCGGCTTTGATTCGCCTTTGGCACGATAATCGCTCGACTGATCGGCAGTTTCGGGGTCGTATGCATGAATCCAAGTCTCATCTCCCGACGCAATAATAACATTTTGTACATATTTGAGTGGACGTGTCACTGAAAATTTATATCAGAACATTTTCAGATTTATAGTATTGCGTCACACTGGGAACTTCGAAAGAAGTGTTTTTTACTTATATCAATAGTTTTGATAGTATTTTGTTACAGTTAATATGAATGGTTGAGAATAATAATGAAACTTAATTTTGGTTCAAACTGAAGTGTCCCTTCGAAATATTTCCAATAAAAGTGTCCCAAGTTTATATGGAAAACTATATACAAACTTGGGACACTTTTATTGGAAATATTCCGAAGGGACACTTCAGTTTGAACAAAAATTAAGTTTCATTATTATTCTCAACCATTCATATGTTCAAAATGGCAAAAGATGAAGATTTTTGAGGAAATTTTTTAGGAAATGTACCATGAACGAATTAAAAAAAATAAATGTCTCTTATCAAAAAAACTCCCAAATACCAATTTTTATAGCAATCGAATAAATCCAATTTTTTCGAATAATTATTCCAAAAGAATGGTTTCAAGCCGAAAAATCTAAAAAAATTGAACTAATTTCTCAAAACGGTTACCACCATTGAGTTCCGCGGGTCCGAATTATGTAAAATCAGTTGTCAAAGTGAACAAACAAAGTAAAAACCTAGTACATTGCAGTTGATTACTAAGATATTAAAATATAGGTGGCCGCCCAAGTTCACACTTTTACCAATTTTCACCAAATAAGAGAATGTTGTCGTTTCAAAATGTGTATATCGGCTCAAAATTGAGTGCGCTTTCGATCTATGAGGAAAAAATCGAAGCAAGACATACATTTTTTCGAGATAAATGACGATTAACTTCGATTTTCATAGATTTTTCCCCATTTTTTGAGGTCTAGTCATTCTGATATAACCTTTTCCGCTGAATTTTTTTTTCAAAATTTCTTTATTGCTTCATCAAGATGACCTTAATGACTTTCCAATAAGCTAAGAATGACGTGAATCTGTTAAAAACACCCCGTATACCTGTGACCAAAAATGGACAAAAATTGAAAATTTGACGAAAAAAAATTTCAACTTCCGAGTATTTTTTTTTTTAAAACGAATTTTCCCAGATATGACACATACGCCAAATCATCACATATTTGGTCCTCAACAATCGCCCAGTTTTTTGATTTTTTATATGTACGCAATTTTTTTTGAATTGGGATTACGTGAAAAAAGTCATGGTCATTTTTCGCCGAAAATGTCACATAACACGCCACTTGGCGGACATTTTTGAAAATTTTTCCATTCTGACTTCGGATCCGGAAAGGTGAGTCTTTTACCTTTCCAACGACGTATAAATCATTGTTGTACCTTACAGATGGCCAGAAAAATGTCCGATTGATGGAAAACTCAAAAACGGCCTCCCAAAAATGTTCGACTCCAGACCAAAACCACTTACGCAACGAATTTTTTGAAACTGAGAAATTAGTTTGCTCAGTTTTCAGTCTACTTTCGAAAAAAAAAATAGTTTCACACAATTTTAAAGAAGGTATGGACAGACATATAAACACCCCAAACGGCCAATTTCGAGGTTTAGGCCATTTTTGGCGAATTGGCCATATCTCGGCCACTTTTCAACCGATCGTAATGATTCTTTTTTTTAACATTATCTACGCAGTCAGCGGTTTAGATTTTTATGTCTTTAACGTATACATAGAGTGACGCAAAATATAAATATTTCATATGTATGTGGGTATTGCGTCACTTGGGGGACTGCCGCCCCCGTGATAGCTAAAATTTGGGAACAAGATTACAAAAATCTGGTGTTTGATATTGACAATTGTGTTATCAGAATTATGAACAACTTCTTTTACTTTCTGCGAAGTAAAAAAACTAAATGCAATACATAGACGACCTAAGATATTTAGATTTTCGATGGCCTATTTATTTTAACATTGATTTCATCAAAAGTAGTGCCCATTCATAATCTTTAAAATATATGACCGACAAATATAAAATAAATGGTCTGAATATATGTTCCAACAAGTATGCAAACCCACAACAAGTATTTTGCAGAAGAGTAGAGATAAATATGTTAAAAGGAAGAACACATGTGGTCTGGAAACAAAAAAAGAACAAACCTGTCCCAGTGATGAAGTAACCGTTGTTTTATATTCAAACCAGTTTCTATGAAAGCTAAGCATACAATCTCAAATTCCATACATTATTTACTATTGACAATACAAACATATTTCGTGCATAACAAGAAAACAAGATTAAGAGTAGAAAATGCCGGTGAAACAAGTGAGCGATAAAACAATAAGTAGGACACAGGAAAAATTTAAGCTGTGATCGAATACGACATACTTTTTTATAAAATAAATGTTGTCACTAATATTATTTTTTTTTGAAAATCGGTACACATCGGTCAGTTGTGTTTGAAATACACGAATTGTAAAAAAGGAAAGAATATTCGTAAAAGTATGAATGCATGTAATTGTGATAGAATTTATTATGCTTTTTTTAATTGGAACGACGAATTGTAATAGCTAGGGGGTAGACATGATTCATTTGATTCACTGTGATTCAAAAGATTCACATTGCTTAGATGACATTTGAAATGTCATTCATGTGTCATACAAGAACTATTTATTGAACAATTAAAATTATTTGTCTCCGAAAAAATGATTCCTTGACGTTTTTTTGAATGTATTAACTCATTATTTTTTATCTATTTCGTGTTTTTCTAGTAAATTCCAAATAAAATCAACGATAATATTTAGAATTTGTTGAACGATCATGTTAGTAAAACTAAAAGTGATGCTTATTTGACATTTGAATGATTCATTTGATTCACTGTGATTCACATGATTCAAAGTTTTATAATTCGTGTCTACCCCCTTGTGTAATAGAGATACTCTGTGCATATCACACATGTTTTTCCTTTCCATCAATAACAAGTCAATTTCACATAGTGTCTTACTTTAGAGGAAGTAAAATAACTGGTTTGAAAAATCATACACTTCTAGATATTTGGAATCAAATACTTATTTAAGTACTTGTTTACTAAATTTAAATTTAATCATCTTACAATTGAATTGAAAAGAAGTAAAATAATTTTTTTTTCGTGTTTCAGGTATGTACAAGAAACTTACAAGACAGCAATGCCAAATTTAACAAGATGAATTTTGAAATTAAGTTCATCATTAGCAAACTATACAGTGGATTAATTTTTACAGGTAAATTATTTATTATTACTTTTTACAAATTTTAAATTATTGTAATTTGTGTAAGACTCTATTTGTAAAAGAACTCATTAACACCACATTGTCTAGATCAGACCGTTAATTACATCATGTTATTTGGATATTTTATGACCATTAACATTTTTTGGTAACAAAGTAAAAACCAGCTAGCACATTACAGTGGATTACTAAGATATTAAAACATAGGTGGCTGCTTAAGTTCACACTCTTCCCAATATTCACCAAATAAAACAATGTTGGTTTTTGAATTATCATATCTCAAATGCGTTGGCATTTCTACATTGTTATGCCATCTATTACCGAAATGTTTGAAACTTCACGCTTTTGTATAGTTTTTGAACTTTCGCATACAATATTGTCTATGTAATTTTCATACAAAATATCGTTTTCGTATCTTTTCTTTTGAGCGGTTCATCTTCATTTATGCTTTGAAGAAGATCCGCACAAAAGAGAATACACAAAAACGATATTTTGTATGAACATCATATGGACAAATACAATTTATGCGGCACGTCATCTAGTTTTCCTTGCATATTTTCTCTGTGTACACTGTTGAAATATGTGGTTATATAGCTGAAGTTCTATAAGTTTGGGTGTTTCAACGTGTCAGTAACAGGTGGCCTAACGCGACTACTTTTGCGACTTTGTTCGAACATGTTTGAGTTATGTGAATTATCGGCTCAAAATTGAGTGAGTTTTCGATCTATGATGAAAAAATCATACATTTTTTCGAGATTAATGACGATTAACTTCGACTTTCATCGATTTTTCTCCACTTTTCGAAAGTATACTAATCTAATTCTTTTCGCTGAAAGATTTTTTTAAAATTTCTGTTCAAGAGGAGGTAAATATCTTTCCAATGTCTTTGTCAATCTTTCCTTTGTCGAAAAACTTAAAAATTTGCCGAAAAAATATTGTACTGTCAAAAGAACTAGTTTTTTTATTTATTTCATAGACAATTTTTTTAAAATTAGATTACGTAAAAAAGATCAATTTTAGTTCTGTGTACGTGAACAAATTTTGGAAATCAACAATTTTTAAACTGTTTTTTCGTATCAATGTTCTATAACAGAATACAATCTGTTCTTATTATTTCTCAATTTATAGATAAGTTTAATTAATTTATTCAACTGAAAAAATGGAGAGATCTGTCAATTCGAATATTGGTCCAAAGGTTTCACAAATGTCAGTCACACAAATTGCGAATCTGTTCCAGCGTCGACCAACGGACGCGGAACCAGAAACTATCAAAGATAGTGATAATTCAATTGGATCAAATGCACCGGTTGTTAGAACTGAGTCACATGCTGTACGTTTTAATAATGCCAGGGCTCTGTTTGAAAAATTAGGTGTTGAAAACCGAACACCTCGACCAGTTGCATTAAGTTTGAAAAATTCAAATAGCCGCGATAATTTAAGCGGAAGTAGTCCTGAAAGAAGCGAAACAAAAACTCCTTCACCAAAACATACAACGAACTTCACACTTGGAAATGGAGTAGTAGCCAAACGCGACCCATCGAAAATACACAATACATCACGTGTAAAACCTGATAAGCCCGAAAAACCTGAAAAGCCCGAACGCAAATTTAATTCAAAAGAATTAATCGAGAAACAGAAGAACTGGACATCACATTTTACAAAGACTCGGACATCCAGATTCAACAGCGATCCAAATCGTTGTGATATCATTCGTGCAGGTGCCGCACTATATCCAGGAAATGAAAACCAATTGACCTCTTTTGCTACATCCGCTTCAATTGCATCCATTTTAGTTTCTAATGCAGCTATAGCTCCCACTTGCAGGTATATCATAATATGTAGTAACACTCAGAATTTTATTTAGTATATTGTACAAAATACCATCAAATATTACGAAACAGAATAAAATAATAACGTAAACGTACAGAAGATGTCCATTGGATACAAAATTGCTTGTATACAAAATATATGAAAAATCTATGAAATTAACAAAATCATTTATTTTTTTTGTCCTTCTGTATCTTAGAGGGTTAAGCATACGTCCTCAGCAGGGGTCTGAGGGGTCCGATTACCCCCCTTACGAAAAGTTACCCCTTACAAAATTTCAAAGAATTCTTACCTTTTTTTGCTCTTCAGTTTTCAATTTAAGAAAAATTCTTTGGATTTGCTAGGGATTTTCGCCAAAAAAGTGAGGAGCAAAAAAAGCGAAAAAAGTACACTTTCACAAAATAAACTTCACTTTTTTGCTTACCCTCTCGATTTTTTCCAAATAAATTTTTCTTAAGTGAATTTATCTTATTAAAACTTTGAATCTTGAAAAATAAAACAAGTATTGAAATAAATAAAACAATGTATCGTATACCGACGGTACTGTGGATGATTATATATCGTTATCTGTGCCTAAAATGCTTCGATATAAGCAGCAACCGAGCGATAGACTATCGCCGATGGGCAAAACCGACACATCCATGGTATTGAAAAGTTTGTGTCCATCATGTGTATTGAAAAATTTGTCAAACATTTGCATTTATTGCTTCCATTTTTGTGTACACTGTCACTAAAGTCTTGACTAATAATTAAAATTATTTGACTAAATGTCAAAATATCATGAAGGTGAGGATTGAAAATAATTCGCGAAAATTTGAATCTTTGTGTCTAGCCTCTAAATCTCAGTAAACTGAAACCAAACCATTCCATTAGTAACATTTACCGAACCGAAGCAAGCGAAACATTCCAAAAATGGTTTGCATTGCGATGCACTATACAGTTTGCATAGCAGCAGCATTCTTTACTCATATTTTCAAAGCATTGCTATTCACGTAATACATAGACGTTCGCCACACAAACAATTTTGGGAACGTTTCGTTCAACACTAGGGTGGTTTTTTGTCGTTTTTCGGAATTTGTTAAGCAAATATTTTTTTGCGTCTATTAGACGTCAGAAACAACATACCGTTGTAATTTTGGATTTTCGTAATACCAGTAGGTAGCGCAAGAGATATCTCGATTTCATGATGGATCCCTTTGTGCCAACACCTTCTTAATCACATTAATCATAAATGAAGAGTAATCACCATTTATCAACCAATACCTAGTGGTGGAGTTTCAAGCGATTCACTCAAAAGTTTCGATTTTTTTCGATTTTTCCTACCAAAAATCGAAGAATGTACGTAGGCTGCTCCATATATTTCTAGAAAAGCATATACAACGCAATCGTTTTTTATCAAAAATGGCTTTATTGTTTTTCAAAGTATTCGCCATGATGGTCGATATACTTTTGCATACGCTCGAACCACTTGCCGTAGCATTCATGCCACTCCGAAACCGATATCTCCAAAACGTGTGTTTTGAACGCATCAACTGCTTCTTCTGGCGTCGAAAATCGTTGACCATGCAGTTTTTTCTTTACGCTCGGAAACAGAAAGAAATCGTTGGGTGCTAAATCAGGACTGTACGGTGGATGACCCATTAATTCGATCTTTTGAGCGGTCAAATATTCAGTTGTGTGATGAGATTTGTGAGAGCTCGCATTATCATGATGAAGAATTATTCTGCGACGGTGGTTATTTTTTCTTAATTCACCAAACACTTCTGGCAAAAAAATGGTGGTGTACCAGTCAGAATTGACTGTTTTACGATCCTCTAGTGGAACTGTTGCCACATGTCCACTAATTGCGAAAAAACAGGCGACCATTTGCTTCGCAACACTTCGAGCGCGAACAACTTTCGTTGGATTATCTTCACTTTGGAAGACCCATACTGTCGACTGCTGTTTAGTTTCGGGCTCATACGCATATATCCACGATTCGTCACCTGTGACGATGTTATAGACGGAATATGATGCACCGCGGTTATATTTGTTGAGCATTTCTTTGCACCAATTCACACGAGCTAATTTTTGGTCATCGGTCAATTTATGTGGAATCCAACGAGAGCAAATCTTTTTTACGGCCAAATGTTCATGCAAAATCGTGTGTATGCTTCTCATACTAATGCCCAAGGATGCCTCAATCTCACGGTATGTGACATGACGATCTTGCTTTATAATGTTTCTGACAGCATCGATAGTTTCTGGAACAACAACCGATTTTGGACGACCTTCACGGAATTCGTCGATGAGCGAATGACGACCACGATTGAATTCAGTAAACCAGTGATATACAGTGGCCTTGCATGGAGCTTCATCGCCAAAGACCAAATGAAGTTGATAATAACACTGTTGTTGAGATACACCCAATCCAAAGTCGTAGTAAATTATCGCACGAAAATTTTCACGAGTAAAATTCATTTTTTTGTTGAGACGCAATTTAGATGTCACTGTAAACAATACAAATAGCGCGCGTATGACAGAATAATTTTTCCCGAACAAAAAAGTGAAGAGCAAAAAAAGGTCCTCATTTTCAAAACTATTCAATATTTTAAAAGGGGGTCATCCGAACCCTAGGAACCCTCGTCATCACCTATGTCTAAAATCGGTGATATTTTCAATGCACCAAGTTATAGTTTCGTACGTAATAAAAAAATATTATGATAAGTTAATAATAATAAGCATTTCGATCAATATCGTTAATATGATTTTATTAACTTATCATGATCAGTGACCGGTTCGCGCATATTTCTATGCCTGATAGCTATGCTAAGCATAGCGGAGACGTAAGCCGCAACGCACCCGTCGCCATTCGATTCGAGCTATATTGTATGCGCACGGTCGTCTGCATAAACGAACATGTGTATTGTTCATATAGAGTGAACGGCGATGCGTCGGTTGCGTTTGCGGCTATGCTTGGCATATCTATGCTACCTAGCGTATTTAGGCAAGCATAGAAATATGCGCGAACCGGTCACTGCTCATGATACTAATACTTATTATGTTTTATCATAATATTTATTAGGATTCATCTTAATAAATACCGTGTTCACTTCATAGCATATTGTTATTCAGCTAGAAACAATTTTCAACGGATGGCGCTACCTCAGACAAGTGAAGTGACCACGGTATTTGCTAAGATGAATCCTAATAAATATTATGAGGATCCGATCCTAATAACAATATAGAACATAATAATTATCATCGTAATAAAAATTTATTAGTCAAAAAGTGACTTTTGGAGTCCGGCCACGGCCATACCGAAAAGTACCCGAACAAAAAAGTCTCAGTTTTTTATGTACCTTAATCCCAGAAACTGAATTTTGAAGACAGATGTCCGAATTTCAAACTTTGATGTTTTTTCTTAACCTATGGCCCAAGGGTTTTCCAACCATACATCAATCGGGGCCAAACGCCTTCTAGGTCTGGATTTCCTATATTTCGTGTATATATAGCAAGTCGACTTTTCAACACACTAATGTGGTTTCG